GGTAGTGGGGCTGATGTCTTAGCGATAGCGGCAAAGAATTCACAGGAAATGGGCGGGCCGTTCGGGTAAGGCACTCGCTTGCTGTAATTGTGTTTCTGACAGTGTACCATATACACTGTATTGTCACCTCGTCAAAGCCGTTCTCTACGCTGTTGAAGCGCGCATGCGACAAAAAGTGGTAGAAAACGAGTAATACGAACGATATGATACAGTCATATCATTTGCTCGCTTTAACAACTGGTGGAGAACGGGTTTGGCACGCGCCAAACTCATCCCGCCTGGCACGCCTACTTGTCCGCAGTGATGTCGAATGTTGACTTATTTCTGCCGAAACGAGGTTGTTAGATAGAACCTTTTTATTGGCCCGACGTTTCGACCTTCTCGTCTTCTTCAGAGGCCTGAAAATGGCTCGAAGCTTTCAATTTGTCACCTACCCGACCAAGCGCCTTCCCCACTCTAGCGTTTCCGAACGCCCCCGAAGAACCCAGTAATAACTGCGCTCAACTCACCGAGGTTCCACCGTGCGGAGCCTAGCTCACGCTATGTGTCAGTAGTGTAAGGACGAATGAGTCTCACTAGAGTCTCATCGTGTCACATAAGTCAAAATTGTCATTGTGCACGTCGCCCTTACTGTAGCTCGCATTCTGATCCTGAAAATAGCGTCAGGGATCGCCATTTGCAGGTTGTGGCGCTGGGAATAATTATACACTAGTTTCAAGGGGCGTGTGCCACAACGCCAAACCCCTTCTCAAGCAGTTAATAAAGTGGGTATGCGACAACAACTGGTGGAAATACGAACGATATGATCTTGTCACGCGCTCGCTTCAACATCTGGCGGGAAATGGGTTTGTCACGGCGCCAAACTCATCCCGCCAGATACGCCCCTTGTCCGCAGCGAACGAGACTATAGATCATGTTGTAGGTGGAACATTAGTGAAGAGATGAACGAAGCAAACTCGTCCGCAGGCGCTCATAATATAACCCAGAGCACTAAGTAATGAAATGTATACGAACAGCATAAGCATGCAAGCAGGAATAACAAGACCAAGATCAGAATGGTGGGGAACAGCCTACAAGTGAAGGCAATCTTTCTAATTTGGAATTTCGCATTTACGATGAAAGGTTTTACCTCTGGTTTCTACACCTTTCACTGAAAAATTTCTTGCCCTACAAGATAACCTGCTTAGCTTTCTGACTATTGACATTCTATTTTTGAGTAACCGAAAGTGTGGATTGAGCTGGAAAGAACGAGCTTTTTGAAGCCCTCTCCTTCCGGCGTTCAATAAAAAACAGAATTCGCAGAAGC